AATTTTCGAATTCATACCCACGTAAAGATTATGTACTTAATACAAACCGCAAGCTCACTCTTCTTTGTGTAGGTACTATCGCGGTTTTCGTTTCAGTTATGAGGGACCCACATAGATTGTCTCGGTAAATTAAAGTTTAAAAACAGATAATCAAAATTTAAGGAGAAGAATATTTTTGACGATTATACCGAACTTTTTTTCTAAAAAATAGTCGTAGAAGAAAATTACGACTATTTAAAAAATGAAAAAACTAACATGACTGTACTTTTCTGTATGGTATTTCTTTTAAAAAAAAAATCTACGTACAAAACATTTTTGGGTTTTTAATAATACCGGAGTCTGTAAAAATGAAAATATTATAGTGTATTACTTATACAGTAAGCCGAGACTTGACTACTAACTAGTATGCTATATCTAACATATTAATTTAGAAACCAAAAATAATTGTACTACCTGTTAAAATTTCACTAGAGTTGGATGCAGCCGTCAATCTAATCCCGTCCATCTATTGTGGTGTCATTGGAGCAACACACCTTTCCTTGTTAGTCCGTCAGAAGCTCCATTTGGGAAAGGGCAGGGTGTGTACTCGCAATCTCTCGCAATTTTTATCGACAATTGACCGAGGTGATGATGGAAACATTAACCGCGGCATCAAGCCTAAACATTACATTTTTGTTCATACTCCAACAATTCGTTTATAAACGATAATCGGACTGACGCCTGATTGGGGGGAGGGGGGAAAGATGGGCAAATTGTTTTCATAAAACGTTTACACTCTCTTATATATATATAAAAAAAAAAACTGAATTTGTGCTCCTGCAATACGTTGTCCGCTACTGCGTACAATCTATAATATAGCATCGCGTTCGGCGTTGTGATGGTATTTTATTTTTATTTTTATTCGACCTCATCTCGTAGGCGCTCTTCCGATTGCGCAGATAATAATAAATGAATATTGTTTAAAACCACTACACGATAAATATACCATTGGTTCATACGAGACTCGGCGACCGCTCGGCAATAATAGTCACAAAATGTCATGCATTTAATAATATTACATAGCGACGAGGTTTTGAAACGTCGCGGTAAATCAATATCCACAAAAACCGGACGATAAAATTAATAAAATATAATATGTGTGCGTGTGTATGTGTGTGGCATAGCGAATATTATACGGTATTATATTGATGATGGTGTTTTTTTTTTTTTTTCAAATGACTGCAGTACGACAGAGGAGAACTGGAATGCCTATAACGGAAAATATGCAAACGATGCGCGCATTATACCGGTAAGGTAATAATATCTATACGCGCGGATAGACGTAGAAAGTACCGTATATAGCGAAAACGTATTTTAATTATTATTATTATTATAGATATGTATTTTTTTTTTTTTTTTACAATAATATATAATATATAATATACGAAACTAAATGTTTGAAAAATTACTGTTAAATTTCTAATTCGTATAAATTTCAATGAAAATATATAATATTTTAGATCCTGAGCAGAGTGATGAATGTATTGGTTTTACTATGTGAGCTTGATTTTCATTCTATTATTATTATTTTTTTTTTTTTTTAAAACCCTTCAAAACTCAGACAAGCCTTCCAATCGAGTCTTTATAAAATTAATACTAGGTATAAAAAATAATCGATTTTAATAAATAGGGCAGATATGTATACGCTTTGGGTCTTTGACATATTTTTATTGGTTGGTAAAAAAAAATAGATTTTTCAAAGCGAGTTTCATGACCTAACGATTCTATACACAAAATACAAAAGTGCATATTTTAAGGACTTCGTATACATTTTTAGAACATATTTAAGATTTTGTATACAACTTAATTTTCATTGTAATGTGTATAATTATTTATTTTTTTAAGGATATATTTTGATATTTTTAGTATATACGTGTATATATAGATATATTAGAAAGTTTGTAATGCCTATAAATATTTGCCCTGTAATCAATATTACGAGAACCAATAAGATCCCACAAAACGTTTGGGCTTTTTGCGCCTATATTTATGAAGAAATTATTCATATAAACGCATTATATCGTACGCCTTATCTATATGTTATACGATAGTACGCATCATGTTCGAAATCAACAAATAATGATTTTTTTTGATTTTTTTTTTTTTTACGAAAGCGAATACATTCGTTTTCATTAAATATTCTAAACACTGTATGAGAGTCAATAACGCGGTAATAACAATGTATATAAGTAGTACTTTAATACCTAGGTATATATAATAGTAGTAGACAACAATGTTTCCGAAATTTTAACAGAAGGATGCATAAATCATTGAAAACGTATATAGTATGAGTATAATATATACCTAACCTAAGCACTTGTCGTAACCAATCTATACTGATAAATTATTTATGAGCAGAGACGCGTAACCGACGGAAATTTATTGTTTTATGTGGGGGCTAAACGAGGGCATCGCGCGGCTGATATAGGTATATATTATATATCTGTATAGATGAGGCGCCAGGGTCCGAAGAATTCAAACTCCCACGCTAAAAATTACAATATTTGTTCATTCCCAAACTGTATACGGCGAAAAACAAATTATTATTGAAACGAATATTGCGGCGAAACATTATTATTATTTAAGTGCAGTATTTCATTATTCCGAGCGGTTTTTAAACGGTTTTCCGGCAAACGCCTTGTCGTGCCGTCTAGCAGTCGAATCTTCCGAAGCAAAATCATAAGAAAATAATATGATGGTAATAATCATATAACGATATCATGAATTATTTATTTTTGAAAAAAATAGATGTACGAGTATTGTAAGTTTAACACGTTTAACGCGTGCCGGCCGAAAACAAACGATTCGCCGATAGACGTGAACAAATACATTCGAATAAACGTGTAGAATAGAAAAAAATACCGGGGTAACAACGAATTCGATAAAATGTACTTAAAATACCGACTCCGCGATAGTTGAAATACTAAAATAATACAATATATAAAAATTAATGTTGTTGGTACATCTGATATTAGTAGACTCGCAAATTTCTGGACCGATTTACTGCAGATTTATTGCAAAAACTCGTTTGGGGTGGATTTTTAGCTATTAAAATCTTCAATCCGACCAGTAGAACAATAAACCTAAATATTTTATTTTCTATTTAGATATTATTTTCTCGCGGTTCGTAAGAAAAATTTTCTTTGCTTTGCTATTGCTACGAAACTAAAAACAAAATAGACCAACAAAGTTTAATAATCAATATAAATCGAAAATTATTATTATATTTTGCAAACATCACCACTAGATGATTTTTTACGAAAACACGTCGAACGTAATTCCTGCTCATGGATTTTGAATTGTTGTGAAAACAACTTATGTTGAATCTTGTATCAATAATTAGTTTTTCGAACATTTTAAAACTTTTATGAGAATTCAAAAAATTTGTTTATCGGTAGATAAACCACAAAAAAATCAAAAGTTTCAAATAACTATAAATATCTGAAAAGAAAATCACTAAATATTTCGACAATTTTCTCGCGTTTAGAATGAGCCAATATAAATATTGAGCGAAACAGTCAAGACGTCTCTATCGATTACTTAACTTTGAGCAGAGTAATATTAGTACCTATTTTTTATTTTTTATTTTTTGTTTATTGAAAAATATACATATAATTTCAATAGTTTTTTCCCATTTATTTAATAAACTATCGGAAAAAAATAAACATCAAAATAACTTCCCGCTGCACCGACTCGATCGAAAATACTGCAAAAACGGTCACTATAAAGTCTTCGATCGAAACAAGATTTCTGGTGAAAAAAATAAGTTTACAGACGCGGGAAATGAAAAAATGTAAAAAAAAAAAAACCAAATCGTGTTAAAAGTTTAAAACCTATGTACATCGCCGGGCTCTATGCGGAATCAAATCGGAACACATCACACCGTGCGCGGTATAATACGCGGCTGTATTTTCGCTGAAAATCTAAAACGCGAAATTTCGTACCTATAATACATACGAAATACGAGTAAAACGTTAACATAACATCGCGACTATAATGCGGAGAAAAAAAAAACCAGTTATTATTATAGGTTGCTTTTCTTTCTCGCGGTATATATTATAATACTGGCGCAGCACAGCCCCGCGTATTAGCCGTATATACCTACGTTTTCGTGCGTTTTTTACATTATAATAATAATAATAATAATAATGTGTAATATCGCGGTGCGCACGGTTTTAATATAGTTTTTTGATATTTTAATTTATCCTATACGGCGACGTCTAAACCGTTTCAGAGGTCATAAGGCAAAACGTTTTTTTTTTTTTTATTATTTCTACGCGAACAATGCCGAGTTAGTATATAATAATAATATTATAGTGTATACGTATATACCTACATTTATATTATACACCGGCTATAACGATAATCCATATTATAAACAATGAAGACGGTTAAATTACGGACTGGAAACGCGATTTCACGTCGTATCTTTACTAAAAAGAAAAAAAAATAATAATACTATAATGTACCATTATATAAACAATAAACGTTGCAGTACCTACCTATGTATAATACCCGCGTACACCTTCTATCTTTCCTATTCGCCATCAGCAGGCCGCAGACGTACTACACCTCGCTGGTTCGGCGTCGCCGGTGATTTCGTAATAAGAATTTGGTTTTATTATTTTTTTTTTTTTTCGTATTCCGAACGCGTCATACAAAAAAATAAAAATAAAAAAAAAAACAAAACAAAAAAAAAAATTATTTAAACAATATTATTGTTATACCCGGGTGAAGATTGCGTATACGGCGTCGGCGCGCGTAAAAAATATATCGTATGCGCGGTGTACGGCGGAATATTTTTATATTATACTATACAGTGTGTAGTACGACTACGGTGCGGCGGCGACGACGACGAGGATTTTTCACGTCCGACGGAAGGAAATCGTTATTCCATGCGATATTCAATGCGATATTATTGTACGTTCGATAGGTATTAATCATGCGCGTTATTGTTATTACGCACGTGCCACACATTTTCCGCGCACGGGACCCGGTATACCCGTCGCCGTCGTATGCGCGCGAGTCTCGGGGAGGAAGTCGTGGACGGTTTTGCAAATCGTATACCTGTAATAATAATAATAATAATGATTTTATCATATATATATACGATTAGATAGGTATTATATACCTGTACAGTTTGTATGTAGCTGTCCGCATTTCGTATGCCGAGAACCCGGCGCGATATAAAACGTATCCGCGTCTAATATAAAATAATAATTCAACATTCCGTCAGCTTCCTGCGGGACCGTCGTCGTCGTCGTATAACAATAATGCGACTACGTGATGCGTTCGAGTTTCGATATAATATTATATTATATTATTGTTATTATTATTATTATTATTATTATTATTATACGACTATACGTCTCCCGCCCGAATAATTTATTCAACATTAGCGCTTTTAGGATTTCCGTTTACGAAACAAACAAAAAAAAAATAATAATAATAATAACATACACACAGGTATGGTATATAACAATCATATTATTATATTTATATGTGTGTTATAATAAAATCGTATACCGGACTCCGCGCGAGGATACCCGCACTAATACGTGACTGCTTTGGGGCCATAAACGGTACCACGGACAAATATTGACACTTCCTGTTTGCGTGGGTTGAATTTCGTTTCCTCAGTCTGCGTCTACGACGGGTGTACGCATACCAAAAGCAGGACGAAAATCAACTCGATAGACTAGACAAACCGAATTCTGTATAATATATAATAGTCGTTTCCCTATACGTTTAAAAAACAGACGCAAAAGAGCGAACGTAAATGTGATTTAAAACAAATAACAAGCAAAAAATATCAAAGTTGGGTCAGTAATTCGTTTAGAATAAAAACGTTCTGCAGTTATCAGTTACTTTTTTCAATGACTTTTGACTAAACTAGTTAAAAATAAATAGAATGTTTTAGAAAATCTGAAAAAAACTAAGTCTCGAATAGTAATGAGTCTACAAAATTAAAAATATTGAGAGTAGAAAATATGTTTATATGAGTTTATAGTTATGGTCAATTTTAAAAAGGATAACATTTAACTTTTAAGTTAACTAAAGTTATTATTTTCCTGAAAATGTTTAACTTATTGTTATAAGCTACTCAAATGCGATTATATTTAAATTTTTAAAATTAATTTTTACTTAGCTAAGTTTTTTTTCTAAAGGTTACCTCACTCAAACAAAATCAAACAATTTAACAACTATTATCAAGCTTTTAAAATTGTATTAAAATGTCAATACACATAGACATTGTGCTTTGTTTATACAATTCAAAAATTAAAATCATCATTATGGATGAATATGAACAAATGAAAATATACACACTCTTGAATATTCCAATATTCAAGGCGTTACATATCACATTTAATTTAATTTAAAATAGCCGTAAGCAAAGCTTAAAACCGGTTACAACAACGGTTTACTTATTTCCTAACACAAACAAAAACCAAAACCGACCAATTTCAAAAAACTTTTTCAACACCCAAACTGATGAATTTCAAAAATCGTTTATAAAACCAAAACCGTTAAAATCAATAAAGATTTAAAGTTTTCAACCAATTTTAAAAACTAATCACTACTGTCGTGTACGAAGAAAATATGTTATAATATTATATCAGTACTCAATAATTCCGAAAAGAATCCTTCGAAAAGAATTGTATTCAATTCATGTTATTAGTGGTCCGGTTAGATTTAATGAAAATTAGTATAGAACTGTAGAACTCGATTAATATTGGTATTAAACCGATCAGAGTAACGTGTTTTTCGGTCTCGACACTGTACAATACTCCATACTTTTCAAATTAATTGCAAACTTTTATAGATCTATAATCTATAGATCCAAAGTTGATCGGATAAAGTGATGGTGGAACTTCAGAAGCGTATTATTCAGCGGGTATAAACTATAGACTTTAAAGGTCGTCACTCATGTGTTATAGTTAAAAATAATTTTAAAAACCGTTCTCGAAACTAAAACTCCAAACCAAACAAATTCAAAAACCGCTTTGCAAATTGAAACCGTAAAAAATCGATAGGTTTTGAACATTGGCTGTAAGTGTTTTGTCTAAATCATTGTGAACTTTCTACATTGGACTTACTGATTTGTAACTGATAATTTCATATTTGCATTTTCCACGAGTGTTTGTTGTTTTTTTTCACGAGTCGCATGAAAATAACGTTTTAAATTATATAGATGAAAATTCTCCGTGATTGTTTTCGCTCTCGATACACTTTTCCAAAGAAGTTGTGTTGAAAAATCCCTTGTTTTTTCATATTTAATATGCACGACGGCTAACGGCTATACTATACACCGCGATAATTTGTTGCAGGTTTTTTTTTTTCATCTCCCCCTTTTCCTTTTTGACGGTCGTCGTCGAATTGGTCCGATAATTAAGTTGTTTGCGGATCGATACTGCGCTCGTGACCGGTCCAATATTATCCTCCGTAGCGGAAAAAAAACTGTCTGCACAACGACGGCCGGCGAAGGAGTCCGCGCGAGGAGTTTATAGAAAACCGACCAAAAATAACGTTTTTTTTATTTTTTTTTTTTCGTCGATAATTTCAGCACAAGACCCGCGATCCGAATAATAATAATTAGGTACAGCACTTACCTACACATATCGCCGACCATTAAAAGCAATTATTAGTAGAAAATACGCGCGGCGGACACATACCGACCGCACGCTATATAATACATATATATGTATGAACTAGTTATTTTTCTACGATATACGACGACGACGGAGACGACGTTGCGCTCTTTTATAATAATAATAAGAAAACGGTTATTTTTATTATTATTATTATTATTATTATTTTTTTTTTTTTTTTTTTTTTTTTTTTTTTAAGAGATAGGATAACACACATATCATTAGCCGTTTAAAAGATTTCTATATAATAACGACCGCGACGATCGCGCGAGCCCTGTGCGCCGGCCGGCCGGCCGCGGCGGACGGTTCCCACGTTTGTAAGGTCACAGACCCACCGCTCCGAGGTTCAAACGCACATCCAAGCTAGTTTCAATACGCACACAAACACATACACATATATATATATATATTCATATACTACACGCGCACACATACATACACACACACACACACACACACACGTAAATACGTGCGTACTGTACTTATAATATTATTATGTATACCGAACGCTTACCGTTTAGCCCGAGCCGTATTATAGTCGTATGGTCTTTGGTCGTCGCCGGGCTATACAGATCGATTTGATCCGAGCCAATTATATACATACACAAATATATTATTTAGGTTATTGGTATAGGTATATATGGGTATCCACGAGTACTTTGTATAATACGTTCGTACCCGCGCACGTCGGTCAACGTTAAAATTTCAAAACCAATAACAGCATAATAATAGTACCGCGTGTGTAGATAGCATTAAAATATTACGAGGACGATAGCGACCGCACGATTTTAATATAATTATATTATATCCTATATACGTATGAACGAGCATGATCGATATGTACGAAGTGAGAAGAGCGAAAAATGTTTCCCCGCGAGTATTGTCCGTGATATCTACTGCTTATTTTGAAAAAAAAAAATTAAATTCTGAATTTATTATTTTATTCGGAATCGATCATTCCTCCCCCCCCTCTACAGTGATCCAAAATCGAGGGGTATTGTGGACGGGACGTCATTAACGTCTGCAGTTAAAATATTTTCACGGTTCTGAGCTAATGGTAACAAAGTAACTAATGATAACTTTACTACGTTTGTTTTGTTACATTTTGTTACATATTATGTGATTACAGTGCCGAATTGCAGGCCACGAATAATATGTCATACATGAATTCTGAAGACGACTATTACGGTTTTCATTGATAAGCTAACATGTTCAATTGTATGATGGGACAGGGTAGATTGCTACCCATCTGTGGCCGAATTTAGACACATATATTATCTTCTTCTTTTGATAATAATTTGGTCATTAAGACCATACCGACAAAGATATTCCTGTATCTCTCACTATCCTTGGCTGCTATCAACCACTGCAAATTCTGTTCCACAAGTTTCACATCATATTTAACACAATCATCTGAGTGTTGTTAGGCTTCGCAAACATGTATAATATATATGTTTAATACATTGCAAAACTTTGACAGTTTTAAATAATTTAATTTAGTTAAGTATATTTATAAAGGTAAAGATTAACTACATTGTACATATTGTACACTGTATATTATGACATCTTTGATATACGCTCATAGAGATCACAGCTATTATATATGTGTTATATATTAATAATCATAATATATACAGAATGTAACATACAATCAATAATTACCAGTTATCGGGAATTAAGTTTTTTGTTTAACAATATAATAGTTGCCTTTCCACGTGACCTAATCCTATAAGTGATGTCTGAAAACTCACGTTTGCACCCCATCCATATTATCACCTCGTGCCCCTCGATGTGCAATATCGATAACACAGTATCATCTTATTAGCCCTACAGGTGTATATATCGGAAAAAAAAAACTATATCTATTCCAGATAATACGAATAATACGTATACCTATGACGTTTCAAAAGATTCAATAATTTGAGAACGGAAATGAATACAACAATTCAATAATTGTTCAGTGTTATAATTAAAACATAAACATTAAGCAGATATGTATATTGTATATCTAACCTAAAAACCTTTATTATTATTATTATTGTTATTTATGCACTAAAAATACCAAAATCTACCCAAGTTATAATATTATTTAAAGTGATTTTAAATTCTGGGTGGAACGAGAAGCTTATGGTTTTACAAAAATGTTAATTAATTTTTTTTTTTTTTTATCTGTGTGCAACTTTTCTATCAGAAATCTTACTTAGGTTTTTAAGTTTAACACCTTTTCTGAAAGGAAATATGTGTAGGGGGATCCTCTAGGGAAGTCATTTTTCGATTTTCTCAGGAGTTTTCTCATCAAATTTGGAAAACCAGTAAAATCGGCACAACATTAAACAAATATTTATTAAAGAAAATACAATAAGCCTATTTAATTATTTTACTCTAATATGACATATATATTATTGACCAAGCATCACTATCAACTGAACTCCGCTTAGAATCATTTTTTGTTAGCAATAGTTTATCGTCACCTAAGGTATACATTAAATTACATATAACAGTGGCAGGTGCACCCGTCTCCATCATCCTAGGACGTCTTTTTTATTATACATTATACAAGTTACTTTATTTTTAATTATTTAAGGTATGAGTTATTTGTTTTTTTAAGTTTTTAAGCTAAGTTCCACGGCCAAAATCAAAAAAACATACATGTTTCATCGAATAATATTAATAACCATATGCTCGTGAGAAAATAAATTTTGTAAAAATCATAAAAAAAAAATTGAGCGAAACGAATCTGCGTATTATTATCTGCCCACCAAACGATTTCATATATTCGTTCACCGTCGTCGTCGACAAATGTGTTTTTCTAATAATTATTCACATTGTCCAGTTGCCGAAAATAAATCAAAATCTCGTTTTTTATTATTCCTATATATCGCGCGAGCGCTACACGCACTCGCGCATTGACAAAAATTAATTTTCGAATATTTGGCGACGCAATCGGTCCAGGGGAGGGGGGTGGCGATGGGTAGGAAGCTAGCCGAGGGGTTTTATAGTGTATATTATTATGTATACGGACAGCCCGATTAAATTTATGTCACTTTACAAACGAGTTTAGCGAGAAAAGTCTTCCGAAAAAAAAAAACCCATTAGATTATCCAAATAGAATAAAAAGCCAAAAATTCTTCGGGCGCACGTTGTTATTATTACTGTGCTGTAATGTTTGTGTCGTATAACTTTTTGAATATATTAATAATATTATATTTTAATATTTATAATCACTCCCGAGCGTTCTGATTCCGTGATCTTAAAGTCGTTTGAAAACAGCGCGTAAATACTCGTACTATATTAAATGGTTAAAAACCGTTTACGTGTCCAAAACGATAATATTATAATATCATATTTTCGTTTTTGTTTTTTTTTTGTTTTTTTATTGCCGAATCGATTCCACGCCGCACGACACACGCGAATAATCGAACTCGCGCATCATAAAACATCGACTCGTTATTCAAAAATTAAACAAAAAAAAATTCGGTTATATTATAAAACGGGTTGTGACTTAGTGTCCGTCACGATTTTTCGGGATACATATTAACATAAATCAATAGTTTACCAATCCCTCTCCCACCGAAAGACCGACAGATAAAACCTCAAAATAACACCTCGTGCCCCTGATATTGGATGAAAGGTTTAAAAAAAAGGAAAGGTTGATACTGCTGATAGAGGATGCCACTGTTATGGGAGGGAAGTTGGAACGAAGGATATAATATAAAGTGACTTTATTTCTATCTATAACAATAAATTAGTGCTCACAAAAAACGATTCTGTACATTATATATACATATATATATATTATGAGTCATATTTTTTCCTTGTTGAAAATTATACACATTTCCTGTTTTTCAAATTAATTAGGAAAACTTCAAAAAAAAAAAATCGAAACACAACTTACTCAATGCACTAAATAGATAAAACATGCCACGTTCTATAACGTTTTCGATTTAACCAATTTTTTTTGGTAGAAACATTTGTTTACGAACACAACAAATGAAAAAAAGTAACGCAGCATATTAAAAACAATACGCCAATCGCTTCATTTAGAATCTAAAATTTACTACAGCTTAATTATAATACGACGTGATATTTTTTTGGGCTTATAGAAATGGAATAACCATTAAAAAGATCACATTCAGATTTTTAAGTTATACATTGTCGTGTAGTATAGTTGTCAGTTGTGTTATATAAAATGCTGTCCTAGGATAATGGGAACGGTTGCAGCCACTGTTGTAGGTAGGAAGTTGGGAATTTAGGATACAGAAGGGAATTTAATGCATATCTGTAAGCTATGATAAATCGTTGCTAAATAAAAAACGATTCTGAGCGAAGTTCAATTAATTAGTAATGCATTTGCAATAATATATATGCCATATTATGTTAAAATAATTAAATAGGCATTATATATTTTCTTTAATTATATTTGTTTAATATTGTACCGATTTTTCCGCTTTTCCTCCGTTTTTTTACGGGTTTTCACATTTGGTGTGAAAACTCCTGGGATAATCTAAAAATAATCCCTTAAAAAAATGTTCATAATAAAAAAAAGATAAAAAAATAAAACATCTTCGTAAAACCAATACATTCTTCGCTGCACTCAGAATCTAAAAAAGTTTAAGTAAATAGAACCAAAAAAAAAACTAGGTTTATTAATCCTCGGATGGGCCATTATATTTAGTAGTCGTGATGATAATACGCACAACAAACAGCAGTGGAAACTCTGGACTTTAAATTACCGGCCACCGTTCTTTTAGTTATTGCAAAGCGTCAGCTAGTCAAGAGCCGAAGGAGAGCACGAAGCAGAAACCCGGATGCATCCAATTTATCAAAACATAGCTCCCAGCAACCACTCATTTTGTCGCTCCGTCTGCTCACGGTATGGCTGCCGTCAGGTGAGTATCCTCCGGCTAATTAACCATTAATTAGCATACTCATAAGCTCAGTGAAAGCCTACCATACGGTACCGACTGTAGAACAAGTGTACAGCCAGCACCGGAGTCTCCGTTCGGCACTGAGAGGGGGTCAAAACTGGGACTCAGAGACCACCCAACTTACTATCCATAGATGTCACGAATTGGACATATTTCGACACCCAGTGGCCGACATACGACACCGGTGACTCCAGGTATCTTCTGATTCGCCATTGTTAATTGACACAATCCCCATTGCCAGGGGTAAGTGGGTCAGCCGAAAACATCACACAGTACGACTCAGAAGTTGGAGCGCGAGAAGACCCCGACTAGCCAGGTGAAGGAAGGAGCCCGCAATCTCGTTATGACAACCTATATTAAAAAATCCATAAATAGATGTAGTATTCGTTAAAATAGATTTTAGCGTTGACATTTTTGATTTCTGTCAAGCTGTTGACGAAATATTCCATTTTTATGTTTGAGTTGGAGAAGAGTATTGGTATATTATTAACATGCCGTGCATTGTACTGCCCAACTAATGATACTCCACTACTATCATCTAACCTTAACTTAAAAGTGGAATATCTCTAAAATTAGCATTAAAAATAAGGGTGACAAAAAGTAATATGATTATAAAATTGTAGTGCAGCTTATTTCTTAAATATTCAAGAAAACAAAATTCCGGAAAAAGTTAATACTTTCCGAGATTATGAGTGTACCAATTTAAATGGATCACCTTGTATATTATACAATAATCATCGTGAGCTTTCTTGTTTTCGGTATCAAACAAATTTTATTTAAACGGGGATTATTTTACAGTAGGTGTCCAACAGTTGCTTTAGCAGAGACGTGTAATGGGAACAGTGGGCCACTAAATTTTAAAATACCATTTCTAAACCTTATATTAGCACTGCTATTCAAGACTCGGATGGGGAGTCAGGGCAAGCCCCGGGTGCACTCAGTACACCAAAACACGATTATAGTCTTTGATAAATCAAGTCGGAATATTAAGTATCTTGGTCCGCAGATAGACTCTAAGGTGCAATTCAAGTAACACGCAATAATAGTGGCAGCAAAGGCGAGAAAGACTGCACAAAACCTCGCAAGGATAATGCCTAATGTAGGTGCCTCCAAATCAGCAAAGATGAGGCTACTTACATCGGCGGTAATGCCTCAGATGCTCTATGGAGCACAAGTATAGGCAGACATGATGAAGGCAGGGGGATGGACCATCCTTAAGAGGTATCAAAGGAAAATATTGTTAAAAGTTGCGTCAGCATATAAAACTGTATCCACAGAATCACTACAAATTATCACCAATAAAACACCGATAAAATTGATAGCAGAAGAGAGAAAAGCGATCTATGATGCAAGAATAGATAATACCGACCAAATTAGAGGAGCAACAGAAAACGCAGCAAACAATTTCTTAATAGACAAGTGGCAAGTGAATTGGTAAATAGCGAAGAATGGTAGCTAGACAAGGAAACTGATAAACAATATAAAGGAAAGATCAGATTTTACGATGTACAGCGCTTCCACTTTTAAGTTTGAGTAGGATAAGAGTTGTGGAGTTTGTATGAAAAATTGTTTTCACATTTTACAACTTGAAGACAATTTGAACAATGGTTTCTTATCCACTTCATTTGATTCATAAAAATATTTTTTTAAGTAGGTGAGAAATTGAAATTCACAAAAAATATGAAAAATCGCAACATCATAGTAAAACCAATAACATTCATCGCTACGCTGTACAGTTTTTCACATTTATTCAAAAAACTACTGAGAAAATCTAAAAATAACCTCTTTAAAATGCCTCCACAGTCGGATTTCCTTTTATAAAAGGTGCTACACTTAAAAATCGGAGCAAAATTTCTGGTAGAAAAGTAGCGCACAGATAAAAAAAAAAATTAACATCTTTATTAAACCATAAACTTCTTCAGTCCACTCAGAATCTAAAAACAAATTAAAAATCATTGCCCACAAATTAATATACGTTATTACAGTAATATATTTCTTCATTCGACGAGTATAATTTGAAGTTTAAATAATACATTATGTAAATTATCAAATACCAAAATTTTCTGAATGAACAAAAAAACAGATAATCAAGATAATATAATAATGCGTTTCGGTTAGTGAATATATTTTTTCGCCAAACGTCGAAATATACATATAGTTTTACATCCGATACGTTTTAAACGATTAAAGAAAAAACGCGTTTTCTGGCAGTGTCCCAACTCGCAATTTTCATCGCACTGTTTTTTAAAAATAAATGGTAAAAGACTAAATTTAAAAAAAAAATTATCGTTACTTTATCTATTAACAACACACCTATTTCTATTAATGAATTATTTATAAATGCATACGTAAACACGATTAAAATATATAGGTTTCATTATGAGCTGGAATTGAAATGGAATTTACACATTCAGAATACTGTAGTGCACCCGAGATTAGTAATCTTCAAATTGTATGAGCTAACCAAATTTTACCTAATGAAGTCACACATACTGTATACGAAGCTCTGTACAAGTCTATAATGCTAAATAGCTTAATATCTAGGAAAAGTGTGCTGAAAATGCAATGAGACCTTGAATAGTGCAATAAAATTTAGCTGTTTAGAATATGTTTGAACAAAAAATATATACAGGGATTATTTTTAAATTACAAATTGCTAAAAGTACTGCCAGTAAGAGATCTTTAAAAGTCCTCTGTACATAAAGAAAAGTATTTTGCACAGCGCCAAACTAAAGTATAATAGTAAGATGTATTCTCATATACGTGTATGTAAAGCTTAAATCATTTTTATTTTTGTAACTACCACAAGCAACTTTTGGGATAAATTAATCAAAATTAATTTTATATTTTGTATTAAGTATGTTAGATTTTTTGGTGATAGTTGAAACAAATTGTTTTAACATTTTTGAATAAGAATAAAATAATTGTATTTTAGATTTTTATTTTTAATTGTTTTTTTTCATTTTTTTGGGCATTTTAAGTTTTTTGAATGGAAAATTCGAATTTTTAATATGTTTAAGATATTTACTCACTAGTAAGATTTGTATACGTGAGTGATTAATCATCAATAGAATATATTTTATTGCGGAAGTATGTACTTGTTTCAGAATTTTTTTCTCGAATGACTTATAAAACAAGTAGATCTAAAAAGTTATAATAACGTTATTTCTGTCACCCATAGTTTCGGAGGTGAAACCACTATCCACTTTTTATTTTCAAATAGTAATCAATATAAAAAAAAATCCATACATAGATGGTGTATTAATTAAATACATTTTGTTGTTGATAATTTTAATTTCTATCAACACGAAAATTTGTGTATACAGGTAGAGTACAGTAAAGCACTATTCAAACATCATGTGCCGCGCCGTTACACAAATGATGCTCCAATACTCTTCCCGTATCTTATTAAAAGGTTGACAGAAATTACAAAATTCAAATTAAATGTATTTAAACTAAAACATCATCATTCATGGAAATCTGTACATAGATTTCTATTTGAAAATCGAAAAAAGATAGCGGTTTCATTCCCAAAAATAAGAGTGGCAAAAAAATAACGGTTATGTAACATTACTATATTAGATCTTCTTGTTCATTAGTTATTTGAAAAAAAAAAATGTCGAAAAAAGTGACATGATGAATGCCTTATCGAAGATTGATCACACTGTAGTCTGTACAACAAGCTAAAATAATATAAGTAACTCGTTTTATATAATCGGAAATGTCCAATCCCAAATAGTGAGTAGTACGTCTTGTAACAAAGTTATTTATGTATTTTTAAATGAGAATACAA